AGAGAGAGAGAGAGAGAGAGAGAGAGAGAGAGAGAGAGAGAGAGAGAAAGAAAGAGTATATGTGTGTGTGAGTGAGAACAAAAATCGAACGAGAGAATTGTGTAAAAAGAAAAATTGAATGACAGAGAATGACCACGTCGAGAGGAAGAGAGAGAGAGAGAGAGAGAGGAAGAGAGAATAAAATCTGCGCGAGTGAGATGAGTGAGGGATTGATAATTATATAATTATCGTTGTGTAATTAACGGCGAAAAAAAAACAATGATGTTCAAGCAGACCACGTCGCCGACGCGTGGCGACGATGATTGTAACGACGACGACGACGCGGACAACTCATGAAAAAGATCTCGCAATACGAAACGTCGTTACGGTCATCAGAGCCGGTGAAGATTGAAAAAGGTAAAGAAATAACGATTTTACGATAACGCTGATGACGATGCTGATATACCACGATGATGATATACGACGATATAACGATGATAATGATAATGATGATGCTGATGCTGCTGATGATGATTATGATAATGATGATTATTGATTATGCTGACGAGGGGACGACGATGATGTGTATAGTAAGCTAAAAATTTATTATATCGGTATGGAATCAGATTTTTTCAACTGTTTGCGTATTGACGACCTATTGACACCCTTAAGTAAAAAAAAAAAATACAAGAGGAACGGCAAATAAATTAAAAAAAAAAAAACAAAAAACAAAAACGAATTAAATTGAACTGTGTTCTGTGTTTGATCTTCGATCATTGGTCCACGATTGTATGGCGAAAAGTCTGATTTTTCATTTTCATTTCATTTCTTTTTTTTTTTTGAACGAGACCCTCGTTAACCCTAAAACATGGAACGATACATAATGAAGGGAAAACTGATACCTGTCGATGTAAAGTAGAGGCTGTCCTTAAAGTCATCATCTACTTTGAGTAATAATAGATGTTTGTGAGTATACAACGCAGAAGTATACATATAATGGAAAAAAAGTATTTGTTTCTTTTTACTCTTTACTTTCATTCTCCCCTTTCTAAAGGATTTTTGCTGTTTTTTTATTTTAAATTCAATATCATTAAATTATCAATCACGATGCCTTTCAGTTCGATATAATTACAAATTTGTGTTTTATAGATGCGTTTAATAAATTCCCATTAATTCTCAAAATAGATGACAACTTTTGGGCCAGCCTGCGTATTACGCGGGATTACGTGCATACACGCGTCCATCTATAATACAGGCGTCGAGACGCCCAAGCGTCTCGAACACGAGGGAGCAGCGTCGATCATTTTGCGTAATCGGTCAGATCGATACTGTTCGAGCCACTCACGGATCGCGACGCGATGACGACGAAAGGAAGGACGATGTCAAAGGTGGTCTATGTTAGAGAGTGTCCATTGTATAGTGTTTTTTGAAACGTGAGCATTAAATGCTACATCTTGTGTACGTCCTCTGTGTACGTTCTTTTATTTAAAAACCGCGCTCGCGAGAAAATCCGTCGACGCGGGTGATGCTCAAAAATTAATTTTCCTTTATGTTTTCAATATTTTCCTTTGGTTTGTTTCCGGCCTGTTCGGAGCGCTAGAAATCGTCCTTCGATTTCGTTGGAGCATCACGCGTGCATCGCGTTTTATCGCGACGAGCTCATCCATATCCTTGCATCCCGTCTAAGACTGGCCTGAGATACTTGGGCGAGTTTTGCGATTTATCAAATTCAATGCTAAAACAGCTAACGGCAGGGTTGAATCTGAAATCGAGAATTTCACGCGAGGGAGGAATTTTAATTTCGCTCAACTGGATTTTCGAAATCGTTGTCCACAATAATTTTCAGCGGTGTGTAATTGGAAATCGGTGGTTCCAACCCCCGGGAGAGGAATTTTAACTTCGTTTAACTGCAATTACACAAATTGGGAAGCGTTAAACTCGTGGGGCTGGATTGCATTTTGCATGATAGTTTTATTTCATCCCGATAATGGAATAAATTTCGCGCACTGGAATTAACCCTCTATTGCATAACGCGACCCCGTTGGGAGCCCAATGAAAACAGTTCTTGCAAAGTTTCCTAGGGGATGATTTGCGAAGAGATTGCGGATTTTATGCATTTTCTGTGTATGTAAATATAGGAAACGTGTGCCAGACTCGTGCAAAATGAAATATCAATATCATATTATTTTATGAAATTTATTCTGCATACGTTCTGTACATGATTTTTATATTACCATGCAAGGTAAATGCACAATAAATGGAGTCAATGTAACTATCGATATAGTTTACGTATATTTGATAATACTTGTTGATTCGGAGATTTATTGTTTATCTTATTCTAAGTGGCCTTTTTTGGGGGCAAAATAAAATTCATGAAACAGAGGGTTGCATCGTGGTATTTAGAAGGTTTTTTTAACTGGTCATAGAATTATTCAAGTTTTCCTCAACTCCGACAGCCTTTGAAGACTCATCTTCCTTTCTCTCGAAGCAGGTAAAGTATGACAATTCCAACCTAGTATTCTAATTTAACTCTTAACGCTAGCCTCTCCAAGTGTACATTAATAAAAATGCTTTGTAAATATAATCTCATGTAATTGGAAAACAAATTTCTACCCCCTGTAGTTCGACCAGTGCATGAAAAATTCCTTCGACATCCCTATACCAAGCTCATGGATCTTCATCTACAATCAGGAAAAATCGTAAAAACTTCAACAACCCTTATAGCGTTTTCACGATCACGTTCCTCATCCACTGACCACTGGAAGTGACCGTTTCAAGTCCACGATGATCGCAAACAATGAAACAAGGCTTCTCATAAGCGAGACAGTTCGACACCCCAATAGGAACGACGCTTTACGCGTCTACAG